TTTTATTTCCAGGTAATATTTAATATTAATAAAAATTGAATTTGTTAACCGAAAATTTTGCCACGTCAGCAATTAACTGACGGAAGGACAAAATTGGTCCCAAAAATTGAAGTTTAAAGATTTTTTTAGTACTTTTTGAAGTTTGAGGGTAGTTTTAGTCCAAAAATGAAAGTTGAGGGACTGAATCGGGGATATAACCAAAATGAAACAGTGGGTGTGGAAAAAGCGTGAAAAATGGCGGTTTGGGCACTTACCTAGCAGCTTCCTTCATCCTTATCCAGGCACGTCAGACTATGAATCCTTCCCTTCCACTTTGAATGCACCTTGCTGTAGGTCACCTCCGGACGGTCGAACCGGTCCGAGTTACCGACGCGAAATAATACTTTTTTTTTTTTTAAAAGAAAAAAAGGTAAGCGACACGTATTCTGGGGGCCAAGTCACACGAGTTGACGTATTCTGGTGATGGCTTGCATCCGCATGCACCGTTAAACTGCCGTCCAATTAAGATTTTTATTAGGTACTAGTACGTAGTCAAGTAGTATTAACAAAAACTAAGGAGTTGTGTGACCACCCTTAAGGGGTTGTTCATGATTGATGCAAGTTTGAAGCTCTCCACAGTTCACTGAGTGGAGTAATTTATTTCCTTTTTAAGGATATGCTCTATTTCCATAATGTTTAATTAGACTACTCTAGCATGGTTTTCTTCCCACTATCTATGGGCGTATCTCTGACAGCAGTCTTCAATCTGCTTCGGTATTTTAATTTCAAGTTTGAGTTTCAATACAGGCATGTGAGAGAATCAATGTTGGGGTAATGCATTGTTATTTTGCATTTATTTATAAGAGTTATGCATTATCCCATTCAAATTTGAAGGCCATAATATTTTGGATGATAGATGAAAATACAGAGCATATCTTTCTTGAATCTTGCTCATACGCCGCCTCGACTGTCCAAGTATGGGGTTAGGCCAATATACAATCACCACCCATTACCCTTCCATTCCATTCTCGATCGTTCTATCCATTTCCTTCACTATCTCTTTCACCATTTCAATTTTTCAACGCCCATAAAAAGGGACATGTATAAACTTCATTCAAAGTTTCATCTTTAGTTCATCGAAATTTGTAGTTTGATAGGCGAGCACATATCCTTATTTAATTTATGTGTATTTTAATGTAACTTTTTTTTAACGATTTTAATGATGTACTTCTATACTAGTTTTATATATTTAAAAAAAATATTTTTTTTAAATATATTAATCTTAAAATTTAAACTTTATTCGTATTTTATAAAACTAAACTTATTTATCGTTAAAATTTTCTTACCAACCAAAGATTGGGAGATGAAACAACTCACAAGTTCAATTAATCTCTTTGGCAATGTAATTAAGTGGTTGGAAGTGGCCTTTTAGGAGTTTATTTACTACTAAAGAACACCAATCTAGCTCTTTTCTTCATGATATGATAGCATTAGCATTACATCATGGTAACATGTGGGCACATATCCTAAACCTATCGCCCACCGACCCCACCACAAAGGAGCAATATCAAGCATCAAAGTATTAAAAGGAATGACAATAATAATTTCATCTAGCTTTAAACTTTGTATGTTCACATTCATTTTTCCAATGTGGTCTATACCCTATGCAGAGGATATTATACTATAATCTTCATTCAATGGGAGGGACGCTTCTCCACCTTATCTGACTCTTTTTCTTTCTTGGGACAAACAAAATCTCTTTCCAGGAAAATGCTCCCTCTTTCTAGAAAAGAAAAAGAAATATCTTTTCTTTTTCCTGTAATTAATCCTGTATCTCATTTCCCTTCCCCAATATTGGCCTTAATGTCACCAACCATACACAATACTCAGCAAACCCATGTATTTTTATTTTATATTTTTACACCAAATATTAGGAAAAACAAGTAAAAATTGAAGACCCTTTATTAAAAATATTGAAAAAGAGGTTACTTTCCCTGAACATGCCTATATAAGCAGTGCTATTGTGTCTTTCGGAGTTGAGCATCTTGGGGATTTTCCTGGGTGGTGAGTTGTGTCCTTTTTTTCTTTTTAAAAGATGAGTTATTTGGGTGTTGGTATTAGTCCTGGGAATGTTCCAGTTTACCGAGGCACCAATTTGAAGGTGGTGGATAGAAGAGTAAAACTTGCAGAGTTGGTGTTGAGGTGTCTGATATGTGGGCTGGGTGTTCTTGCAGCTGTTCTTGTGGGAACAGATAGCCAAGTCAAAGAAATCTTCTTAATTAGGAAGAAAGCCAGATTTACAGAGATGAAAGCTCTTGTGTGAGTTCATCCTCCTCTCTTACTCTCTCTTAGATTCAGCATATTCTGTCCCTTTTTTCTTGATCTGTGTTGGCGCATGTTGTCCAGATTTTTGGTGTTAGCAAATGGGATAGCTGCAGCCTATTCATTGGTGCAGGTTGTGCGTTGTGTTGTGGGTTTGGTAAGAGGGAATGTGCTCTTCAGCAAGCCTTTAGCTTGGGCCATTTTCTCTGGAGATCAGGTATTTTTCTCTTCTGTGCTTGCATTTTCCCCAAAACCTCCAATGAAAGAGTTCATGGCCATCTTCTTTTCTTTTGTTCCTTGTTCAGAATTTGTTATGTCCAGTTTCACCAAATTGGTAGTAGAGAAATGATCAGGTGCAAGGATTAAAGATTTAAGATTACTCATGTCCATGGTTTGTGGATTATTAGATGACAAAGTACGGTGGTAGATGTACATTAAAATGGTCAAGGAAAAATAGCTGTTAGATGCAAATTCAAGGTCACTATATTGGCAAGAATACTTGCATTTATTATTCTATTCAATGATTTCATCAACCCTGTTGCCAGTTGGTGGGAGAGCATTTACTACTACTACTGTATAGGTACCATAGTAGAATCCAGAGGGAAACAGAAAGATCATAAATGCAATGCAACAAACAGCTACCCCAAAAGTTTGACTGCATGTTTGCCATGTGTGAATTGGTTGCAATCAATAGACCTAACTCCTGTAAGGAAAGAGTTCTCAGTGCATTTCAGGATGTGTCAACTGCATTTTTTTTTTTTTTTGGATTGCCTTCATTTCTTAGCCTTTAGGGTATATAGGACATAGTTACCTTGTGAAACATACCCTTAACCAGTTAAATATATCAAATTATCAGCAGAAGAAAAGTTTTTATTATGGAAGTATAAAATATACAAACCTTACATGAAGTAAAGATTACATCCTATACAAACCCTGCTCTCTGTTCGTAATCATAATCAGACGCCTGCAAAGGAGGAACAATCGTATACCAAAACCAACTCATCATGCCAACAAAGCAGAACTGGTAAAAATCCCCAGCAAAAAAGAGCATCATACCTTGCACCAAGAAGAAAGCAATGTGAATATGTGTTAATTGTTCCAAATCTCCAGTTGCAGTATACGATATGTACATCAGATGGAATTTCTTCCTTAAGTTTGTTGTTTATGTGAGAAGAATGCTTTCAACATAAAAATCATATTATCTGTTCATGACCACTACCCAAAAAGAGCTTAGTTAAAGACAACTTTATCCTGGAAAAAAAGAAACGGCTAAATGCAATTCCCTTGTCTGTTTATTGTGATTGCTGATTACTTTAGAGAGCACAAACTACAACAAAGTGATGTTATTCCAACATTTTCCTGTCCTAATGGGTTGTACAAAATGTTTGTGCAGGCAATGGCTTACTTGACAGTGGCTGCTGTGGCTGCTGCAGCACAGTCAGCGGTGTTTGCTAAGGAGGGGCAACCAGAGCTTCAATGGATGAAGATATGCACCATGTATGGAAAATTCTGTAACCAGGTTGGAGAAGGAGTTGCAAGCGCCTTATTAGTTAGTGTTGGCATGGTTTTCCTGTCTTGTATTTCTGCTTTCAGTCTCTTTCGTTTGTATGGTGGCAACAAAGGCAAGAACAATGCTACGCGGTAAATTTTGGGCAGGACCATGATAGCTACCTAGCATGTTTCTGTAACTTGAACCTCTGTGATTTGTATTGTGATGATAAAACATGATAATAAAATAGAGGCAGCCGGTGTATGTTGATTTTTCCCTTTTAAGCAAATATACAATATGCTTCTATAGTTTCCAATATTAGAAATGTTTAGTATACTCTAAGGCTAATCCTTGGATGGAATGAATCTTTTAATATTAGGGGTTGACCCCAGTCAAGGGATTCTTTTTATTGTTTGAATGGTAAAAAAGAAGAAGATATTCTTCCAATATAATTATATATTTTGAATAACTTTCCTCAACTTCATTGCCTTTTTCTTTACATTACCAAGCTAGTCCTTGGCACCTCTAAAATGGTACCTACCCATATGTTTTAGACACAGACATCAAGTGGGGAAGCAAAGTTCATAATTAGATAAAGGGATCACAGTATGCAATTCAAGATAAAAAAATAAAATAAAATAAAATTAAATAAATAAAAACACCTTGAATAGCATTTCTTTTCTTTTTTCTTTTTCTTGAAATGGGGAAATTTTGGGGGAAGGGAGAAATATTACAACTGTTTTGATAGGAACTTATCCTTTGGCAGAAGTCAAGATGTTAGACACACATTGCCAGCTAACCAGAGGTGGCTACTGCTTGGATAGCATTTCTTTGAAAATTATTAATTACAAGAAATCAATATGAAATTGAATTAAAACTTACCACCGTACTATCCCATGAAACATAAGATTTTAAGACTTATTTCCGAACTACTATATATATATATATTTGCTAGTGTTATAATTATAATACTATATAAAATTATAAATTTATAATTATGTCGTGATATTAAATAAATATAATTAAATATTAATTATTAAATAAGTAAATACATATAATATCATAAATAAACTCTTAAATAACAAAAATCAATTATTTAACGACATATCATGTTATAAGTTTATAATATCTCATTAACCCATGAGTGGGTGGATAAGTTGATAAAGAACTCTTTCAATTTAATTAGAAATATTGGTTTCAAGTCCTGAAAATGCAGTTCTGTAAAACTTGTAAGGGAGAATTTTGCCGTCCATTGGATCTTGTCCGACTCGAATTCGGATTAGTCAATGACTCAGTGAGTTTTTAAATACCGAGTGGTCCATACAAAAAAAAAATATATATATCTCATTATATTATAACTATAATATTTTTCATATTTGTTTAACATAAAGAACATGGGAGTAGACTTAGTAACTCCCACGGACTAGATTATTATCACTATTCAATTTACTAATGTCACTAAATTTTATCAACTTATAAATTTTTCCCTTAAACAGTTGACTATAATATTTAAAGATATTTATTTATAAATTAATAATAATTAATTATTTTATTAATTATTAATTTTTTTTAATAATAAAATTAATATAAAAATTTAACAGTTATTAGTGCCATTGAGAGATTGAATGGTCGGCATAACCTGAAGAACATTAGAGAAGATGTTGTATTCTGTTAAGTTGTTGAGCAGAAAGAGGTAGAGTCTGGTAGTGGAACGTGGCAGACACGTGCCAGCATTACACGATATGTGCTGACATGTACATGCAGGTTCATCACATTACATAGAATCCTCCAATCTGGTTGGACCAACTCAGCACACCTCATCCCTTTGACTTATTCTTTCCACAAAACCCACGTCTCTCATTGGTCCATTTCTTCCCTCATATAAATCGGCCGTTCACACCCTTCTCCATTCTGTGGCAAAAGTGACCGCCTTTGACCTACCCCGACCTTTCTTCTTCTTCCCCCGATCTTTCCCCCAATTTTAGTCTCTTTACTCTTTCTTATTCCAGAAAGAAAATCCCTAAAATTTTTCATTTTGTTCTATTTCAAATATTGATTTTATTTTTTTTTTTGGGTTTCTCGATTTTTCCAATAAAATTCGCAGCTTTGCGCAAGCTGCGATTTTTGAAGATGTCGGAGAAGTTCTCGCCGACGCTTAGAATCGGAGATCTCAGTGATTTTATTGCACCCTCTCAGGCGTGTGTCGTTTCTCTCAAGGGACTTAAATCAACCGCCAAGAAACCAGATAACCCTCAGGTAGGTAGTTATAGCTCTAATCCGATTTTGCGCTCAATTTTCTTCTTTCTGTCTTTTGGGTTTTCTAAATTTTTTTCAAAGTTTCAGTCTTTAGCTTATAATTTTTGTTCAGGATGTTGAAGTAATGGCACTGTAATCCTGTGGTTTAGCTTTTCTAGGATTGAGATTACATTTCTTTGTTGAAGGTTTTTTTTTTTTTTTTTAATGATTTTTGGTGAAGGTTTCAAGTACAAGTAATCAACAAACTGAACCGGTGAAAATTTCACTCAAGGACTGTTTGGCATGCAGGTAATTAAATTAACTCTTAATTTATTTTTATTTTTATTTTTATTTTTATTTTTATTTTATGGTGTGATTCTGTGGCTAGTTTATGTATTATTTTGGTTTATGAAAAGCTGCCAAAACCTAATGTTGCCCTTTAAAAATACGAAAAAGTGTTTGTTGTGCAGTCCAGACTACACAGCTTTTCAACCATTGAATGGCCTTGATATTGGGGGTTCCCTCCCCATCCAATGGTTCTTGTTTTGCAATTTAGTGCAGTCCGGACTACAAAACAGGGAATTCATAAGAACAATTTAAAAAAATTAAATAGATTGATTTTAAACCAAATGAAAGAAAGAAGTGAAGGTTGATTGCTGGAAAGTTTCTTTATTGATTATTGTATGAATTAGAACAGTGAATAAAAAGTTCAAACTTTTGGAGTGAAATGCTTCTGGTGCTGATATTTTCTTTGCGAGTGCCATGAGCCATGTTAGTCTATTATTTGAATTAAAATGAATAGAATTTTCTGTTTCTTTGTGACTTTACAGTGGGTGCATAACATCAGCAGAGACTGTGATGCTGGAGAAACAAAGTTTAGATGAATTCCTTACTAATATTAATAAAGGAAGGGCTGTTATCGTTTCCCTCTCTCCACAGTCAAGGGCCTCCCTTGCTCTTCATTTTGGCATCTCTCCACTTCAGGTAAATGATAAATGGAACACTTTGTTCCGTACTAGATATTTGAAGACAAACATTATGATTCATGAATTATTTATGAGAATTTGAAGGATATGCAAGAGGCTTAGCTACTTGTTACTACTAAGTCAGCATGTAGCTGCTGCTAATGATGGCAGTTCTTTCTGATTTTAGGTTTTTAAGAAACTCACAACCTTTTTGAAGTCTTTGGGCATAAAGGCTGTGTTTGATACCAGTTGTAGCAGAGACTTAACGCTCATTGAATCTTGTAATGAGTTCATTACTCGATATGGACAAAGCCAAACATCTGATGGTGAGAAAAGTAAATGCTCGATGCCGATGCTCTCATCAGCATGTCCAGGTACATTCTTTTGCCTCCTCTTCTTAATTTTTAATTTTTATTTTTTGGCTGTCACTCTTTTGCCCATTGAAACTATGAAAAGTATCTAATGTTGCAATCTTGTTAAAAAAAAAAATAATAAAATAAAAAAAATAAAAAAAAAGGCAAACACGTACACCTACATGAACTCATTCATATGGTTAGATCTTAGCAGTTAATTTTTAGTTGCTTGTATGGCATTGAGGATAAAGGATTCTTGTTGATTAAAAATGACTTTTATGTTCATCTTTCTACAATTGCAGGTTGGATATGCTATGCTGAAAAGCAGCTTGGATCTTACATTCTGCCTTACATATCTTCCGTTAAGAGTCCTCAGCAAACAATAGGAGCTATCATTAAGTGCCATTTATGCCAAACAATGGGATTCAGGTAGCATATCCATCCAAAAATGTAATTGTCTATGTTGTTCTATGCTGCTATCCTTCTATTTCAATTATGAACATTTTCTGTTAAGGAGCAATATAGCAAAAAATGTTTAACGTGTGTAACTTATATTACATATATTATATGAGAGCCTGATAATGGTGGTATGTACCGGAAATAATGGTTGGCATTTTCATTTAGCACTCTTAAGTAAATGATAACAAGATAGAATTAATCATTTGTGAGTCATTTTGGTATACTTCATCATCCCTCCTGAATAATCAGCATTAGCAAAAATTTCTGTTACCCTGGATTACTTCCCATACCATGGCTAAAGAATGCCCTTCCCATTTACCCTTCACTTGTTTCTTCTGAATTTATCAGTAGTTGTCAATTATTGTCCCGTTTAATGACCAGTTTACATTTCAGTTGGTATCTTGTGAAACCGTGTATTTCTGTATCTTTTATTGGCTGAAAAATAGAAGGAAGGAGCAATTCTTATATGATACGTTGCAAGGATATTCTTAATTATCTTGATCACCAATTTGATAGGCCAGAGGAGGTTTACCATGTCACTATAATGCCCTGTTATGATAAGAAGCTTGAGGCTGCCAGAGAGGACTTTGTTATTCAAGTGGAATCTGGAGATGCATTCCACGCAACTGAAGGTGTGAGGATTACAGAGGTAGACTCAGTCTTGACATCTGGGGAAGTCTTAGATTTGATACAGGTAAGACCAAGGTTCCGTATTATGGTAATTCTTATGAGCCCCTAATTTATACTCTTTCTAATAGTTTGTATCTAATGTCCACATTTTGCAGTTGAAAGGAGTTGATTTTAAAGCCTTAGAAGAGTCACCCCTAGATAGAATGTAAGAACCACTCACCATCTTTAGGCTGCCGTCTTTAAGTGCAATGATGCTAACTGAAAATGAAAAATACCGTAACTGGTCTGCAGGTTGACAAATGTTTCTGAAGAAGGGCATCTTTATGGGGTCCCTGGAAGCTCTGGAGGTTATGCAGCAACAATTTTCCGATATGCTGCTAAAACCCTCTTTGGAAAAGAAATTAAGGGCCCATTGGACTACAGAATCATAAGAAATGCAGATTTCCGAGAATTGACTCTGGAAGTAAGTTATTCTTTTAGATTTCTCAGTATTCAGTAGCACATAATGGGAAGTTCCCATTAGAAATTAAGTACAAGAAGTACTAGGTCTGTGGAGTAAACTCTTTTCTAGTTGCAATTTTGAGCGCTGAATCATGATGCATGCACTTGGGTGCTTTTAGCAATGCAGTTCAAATGCCATGAGCATTAAATTTTATCTGCATTTTGTTGATCCTGCAATAACATTGTCTACAATCTACAAAACAGGTGGATGGTAAAGTGGTGTTGAAATTTGCACTATGTTATGGCTTCCAAAACCTGCAAAACATTGTGAGGAAAGTTAAAATGGGGAAATGTGATTATCAGTTTGTGGAGGTTATGGCATGCCCTTCAGGTTTTATTTCTTTTCTTCATTTATTTTGAAGTATGGTGTTCAGTTCTAACTTCTATGAAACCATAAGTTTGATTTGGTTTATAAATATTCTGAATAAGCAGGTTGCCTGAATGGCGGAGGTCAAATCAAACCAAAGCTGGGGCAATCTCCAAAGGAGTTGATCAAGTCATTAGAAGCCATCTACATGGAAAAGGTGAGTTTCTTTTGTGTGGTGAATTTATCATCAGGGTGCCTCGTCCTTAGAGATGAACTGTACATCTATTTGTTCTTTGAACCTTTTTCTTTTTTGGCCATGTTCTTTTTAACTGATTGCCACTAATGTTCTTGACAGGTTTTGGAAGCTGATCCCTTTGACAACCCTATTGTAAAACGTTTGTATGATGAGTGGCTTCAACAACCTGGTTCAGAGAAAGCTAAGAAGCACATGCACACAGAATACCACCCTGTGGTGAAAAGTATCACTGCTCAGTTGCACAATTGGTAGAATTGGACTAGTTCTGGTTATCCAACCGTGGATACTCCCTGAGTTATCATTTCCTGTCAGCGGTGTGTTCTTCTGAGGCATCGTAGCAATCTTGAACACAAAACCACATTACTGCTTTTTTTGCTTCCTCGTCCTGGGAGCCCAATTTTGATATAGTAAAGAGAGAATTTTGTTTATTTTCACCTTGTTCTCTCCTGTAAATGCTCTGTATTAGAAGATCAAAGAGATAGAAGAAAGAATTAATTTATGTACTCTTTGTAACCCTTCTCTTGATTCTTATTATTAGTTTCAAAATAAAGTCCCCTTTTTTCCTTATGCATATTTTTTCCTATCTTTCAGTTTGACCCCTAGCTTTTTCAAAGATGTTATTATTGTTCTTGTATGGTAGAAAAGGCATATACTCTCGATTTCCATAGATTTGAATGTCAATTTTATTCATTACACGAACCCTAACAGCAATTCGCTCCCCTGACATCAATTTGTGGCTCCACTCTTGGCTGGAGTATAAACCGAGGGAATCAAGAACAGGTCATTCTTCTTCTCACACTGGCCCCAGAACTCTCGGTCATGTCTAGATCTTCTGGTTTAATCTCTTCAAGAATTCGAGGAAGAGTCTCCTGTTTTAAGGTTTAAATTAATCTAGATTGCAGAATTAAGGCCATTTGATGCAGGACACTTTTTCCTTCCAGGAAACAGAAGAAACAAGAAAATGGATTGAGTATTGAAAGAATACATAAGAAGCAAGAAGATGAATTGCACCTAAACAATTCATACAAAACAGTATCATCATCTTTGGTTATTGCGCTTTAACTTCTACGGCTCTACTTCAATATTTCAAACTAATCTAGCAGGGTTTCCCACTGCTGTACGTTTCGCAGGGACCTCCTTCAAAACCACAGACCCTGCACCAATTTTAGCCCCTTCTCCAATTTTAATATTCCCCAACACTTTAGCTCCTGCGCCTAAGAACGCCCCATCTCCAATTTTCGGATGCCTGTCCCCTGAATCTTTCCCTGTTCCACCCAAGGTCACACTATGGAGAATAGTTACATTATCCCCAACCACTGATGTTTCACCAATCACGACTCCAGTAGCATGATCAATCAATATTCCTCTTCCAATCTTTGCTCCAGGATGGATATCAACAGCGAAAACCTCAGAAACCCGACTCTGAATCAACAGGGCCATGACCGTCCTCCCCTGTGACCACAACTTATGCGCCACTCTATGAGCCTGACATGCCAGAAACCCCTTGTAATTCAGGAAGCAATGAACATAACTAATGCAAGCAGGGTCACGCTCTCTCACAGCCTTAAGATCATCTCTTATGGCTGCCCTGATTTCGCAATCTTCCCCCAGAACCCTAGAAAGAACTTCCATGAGGACATCCCTGGAAAGACTGGAGCTACACAATTTGGTGGCCAGTTGACATGCCAAAGAATCCTCGAGGGTTTTACGAGACAATATCAATTCATAATAGTAAGAGAACAAGATGGGTTCTTGCTTCATATCAGATTGAGCCTCCTCTCTGATTTTTAGAAAGATGTCATCTTTTTGCTCGTTCTTGCAGCAAACAAGATTTGTGAAACTGGGTCTGCACGATTTGGAAAACTTGCATAAAGGGTTACTCACCAGGGATTGATCAATGCAAGCTGCCATTTTTTTGAATTGAAGAGAGGTAAATGGATCAGGGGCTATAACTGAAGAAAGAGGAGTGGATAGGGTCATTTATATTTGCTGTTGTCCAAGTCTACATCTTGAGAAATTACCTGGAAATGTCGCTGTGTTTTTAAAGAATTAATTACTCAAAAATCAAACGCAGAAACGTGAACAAGAGCAAGAAGAATACTGGAAAGAGGATGGAGCGAATGACGTCTGCGGTGACGATTTCTTGGTTTCTGGGGTCAAAGCTGACCGTAAAAGAATTGACGTTGACGGCCGAGGCTTGCGCACCACTCCAATATATGAGGCTAAAACCAATTTGAGCGCCTCATCTTACAAAATTGATAGGTTTTAGCCCCTAATCTTATAATATGATATTTTTAGCCCTTTATCTTACAAAATTAGTAAGTTTTAACATCTTACCTTATAAAATTAATATGTTTTAGCTCAACATCTTATATTATAACACTTTTAGCCTCTTATTTATACAAATTGAAGAAAATAACTCTCACTTAATATCGAGTTATAATATTCTGTTAGTTTTATTAATTGACTGTCAATTTTGTTAGTTGACTGTCAGTTCTGTTAGTTGACTGTCAGTTCTGTTAGCTGACTGTTAATTTTGTTAGTTGATTGTTAGCATTTGTTAGCATTCCATTAATGGAACTAACAAATAAAACTGAATTTAAATTTTATATTTTCTATAACGAAATACTAACGGATGTTAACAGTCAGTTAATAGAACCAACAGAATGTTATAACCTAATATTTGGTGAAAGTTATTTTCTTCAATTCGTATAGGTGAGGGGCTAAAAATGTCATAATATAAGATAAGGGGTTAAAACTTACTAATTTTGTAAGGTGAGGGGTTTAAATTTACCGAATTTGTAAGGTAAAATGTTAAAAGTGCTACGTTATAAAGTGAAGGACTAAAACCTATCAATTTTATAAGATAAGGAGCTAAATATTTGGTTTTGCCAAATTTATGAACCCAAAGCTTTTGACCTGATAGCCAAGGTTTGGCTTGGGCAATTGGTAATGCATGAAAGCAATGTGCTTTGCGCGTCTGGCAGACTTCCACAGAGGAAAGGATGCAATTAAAGATTTTAATTTTGTATTTTTTATTTAAAAATATTAATTTTATTAATTTTTAAATAAAAATTTTAATTTTAATTTTTTATTTAAAAATACTAATTTTTATTTTTTTTATTAATTATATATTCTAATATAATCAATTTTCAAATTTAAATATCAATATTCAATAAGATAGATTTTTAAATTTTAAATTAAATTTTAATTAAATAAAATGATATAGTTTAATATTGATATTTTAATTTATTTTAAAAGTCGAGATAGATGTTTTTTTTTTTAATTATAATATAATATTAAAAAATATAACAAATATTAAAAAAGTTAATAGATATAATATCATATGTAAATTTTTAAACAAAAAATTAATATAATATATTATAAATTTATGAGATTAGTATGTATTAGTTGGAGTTCTTAAAAAAAATTAGAATCCTAACTTATATTTGAAAATTAAAATATCAATTCAAAATTTAAAAATTTATCATATTAAATGTTGATATTTAAATTTAAAAATTAATTATATATTTTTATATAATTAATTTTTAAATTTAAGTATCAATATTTAATAAAATAGATTTTTAAATTCTAAATTAAATTTTAATTAAAAAAAACTGCATAATTTAATGTTAGAATTTTAATTTATTTTAAAAATAAGGATTAACATGTATTTTATTTTAAATTTATAATATCATATAACATTATAATTATAATATTTTCTTTAGCCTTTAAATATTTATTTACAGCTATGTTTGTTTTGCAAAGCTGTGAGCCTGTGAAGTGTGGATTGCTTTTGGAAGAAGACATTTCGGGCTTATTGGAAAGTTGACTCTTGATTGATGAAAAATAAAAATAAAAACCCAGAAGATTGAATTTTGGAGTTAGCTGATTATGCGAGGGGCCATGCCCCCATGGCTTCCGCAAAAATTCTTTCTATGAGTAGTGTAATCCAATCATGCTTCATGCCCTTAATTATTGCATAAAGTTTAAGGACCAAATTCTTATCTACTTGAAACTCGGCGGACTAAATAGGAAATTTAATAGTAAAATATTGCTTCTAGGTATTTTTATTTTCCTTTTTTTTTTTTTTTTTATGTGTGGATATTGCTTCTAGGTTTAATAAATGATGGGAAGGACCATAATTCTTCTTGGTTCTCCTAATTGAACATTTTTATATAGTGGATTATATTTAATTTTTTTGAATTTTTTTAAAAAAACTTAGCTAATATCCCTAATATTTTATGTATTAAAAAGAGGTATATGTCAATTAATAAAGAAATGGAAAGGAAAAGAAAGACTAGATACTCTAGGTTACTCAGTATATATGAGCTTTGGCAACATGAAAATGGAGATAAATACAACATAAAAGAGATTAGATAGTCTAAATTACTCAATATATATATAAGCTTTGACAATGTGAAAATGGAGATAGATACAACATAAAAGAGAT